CAAACTTGGTTGTACAGGAAGAAACACACTTGACAATATAAATGTTAAAAAATTTAGAGTAGATTTGGAAAAATTACATAAAACATATAATTATAAGTTTTAATTTTAGAGAAATACTTGATTTTATTTTTGTTACATAGAGAGACAAAACTCAATAAAAGATTAGCAATAAGGCAGGCTACATAGGCTACATTGGAGTATCTATCTCTTTAAACTTGCATATTAATAATTTAGTAATTAATTGTACTAATTTGTGTCTTTGATAGATCTAATGTTTGTAATTTGTAATTCAAAAACAAGAATGGTCACTAGTGTTGGATTTGTTGCTATTTTGTTTAGTGATTTGTATCTTGTTATGCAATTTTTCGACCCGGGTATCTGAGATATTTTGTATGTGGGTTACTTGATGCAATCAGGTCATTTGGAGGCTCCCCTGTACCAAGTCGTGTGACTTCTCAACTAATCTTTCTTCATTTGCTATGTGAGTATTATTCTTTTGTTTTATTGTTACAATCTACTCTAAGTTTTGTATCCGGGTTTTATACGGCTTTGTTGTGGGTTCCTTGATGCAATCCGGTCATTTGCTGCTCCTGCTGCCAATATGAGGAGACTAATTCAGTAATTCTGCTTGAGTTCTTCATTTTTTTTGTTTGTTGACTAACCAATTCATATTTCTTTTAATTGTCTCTCGTTGTTGACTTGGTGCTACTGATCAAAGACATTTGCATTAAAAAGGATATGTGTTGTATGCAACTTTATATATTAGTTTAGGAAGATGTATTTGAATGCATGATGATTTGGTGTTCAAATAATTTAGTATTCGAAATCATAAATTGGCAAGAACTGAATCAAAATTGATGTAGATCGAACCGTATGGTTCTAGTAATAAATTTAAACGAAATCACATTGAACCAAATAATTGATATTTTAAGGTTCCGGTTTCGGTTTAGGAATGGAACCGCTGCCCACCCCCACCCCCAATCCACTCCCAGTCCAATGACAAACAAGTTTCCAATTTGTAATTCCCTCAACAGAATCTTATGACTCGTCTCTTCGGTTGACAGACTGCGAGGGAATTTCTAAACCGTAGCCCGTTAATCCAGTCAAAATTTCTTTGTCATTCGTCTCTTCGTTTACCAAATTGCAGGCCTCCAATCCAGTCCAAGCCCAACCGTTAACTCCACTTCTACACCGTCAACGTCGTCTTCGAACTTCTTTGAACATTGAAGCTCTGTTTTCAATTTTTTTAGGAAGCAACTATGGGTCTAGATGTCGATGATGAGGGTGACATGGCGAGAAAGATGATGGGTCGCTGAGTTCGAAAACAGAGATGTCGTCGCCTTTGAATTCGATTTCTCGTGGTGGAGCTTGGAAACTAGTTTCAGGTCAGGAACCAAAACCCTGAGATGAGTTGAGTTCTGGAGCGACGCAGCGGTATATTGTCGCCGGAGGAAGGGTCGTCGATGATGCGTTGTGGATCATCGCCGATGATGGGTTCTCTATTTTCAAATTTCTGTATCATTTGTCAGGAAGATCGAGTTCTCTACCTTCAATTTGGGTATTGGAATGATGAGAGAGAGGAGGAAGAGGAGAAGGAGGAGGAGAACGGGATGCTTGTGTCCGATGGTGGTGGTCTGGGTTTTTACGTTTCATTTTTATTTTTATTTTTTTCAGATAGCTAACAGTGTTTAAAGTATGGGTAATGATAGGAGATTAAATTTGTAGATGCTGTGACCTATTTTATCTGAGAAAAAGAGATGGTGCATCACAAATAGGAAGAGAGAGATGGAGAGTAGGCTTGCAAAATTATGTGTGATATTTTTCAGCCTTTGTGCCTTTATTTATAGTAAACTAACGAAGACTCTTTGCCTTGCAAGTAATACAACCCTAATGGGAAAAAAATCGTCTAGTATTCTAAATACAATCTACTAATAATTTACACAAGCATATATGTGCTAGAACTATATTCATAACATTTTCCCTTGAGTGTGTAAATACTCAAGTAGATAACGCATCAGATCTGTAGGCAAATGTAGAAGTAGGTGATGAAGTCGCCTCGTTTAGTCGGCAAAGTAGCGAATGCGAGTCTCAAAACAAATAGAATGATGCATAGGTAGTAAAACTCACAAAACCTCCAGAGATCCTTCTCCCTCATATCCTTTAGTTGTAGGAGCAGCAAAATCACCATCATATAGAAAGTTAAAACAAGAATTGGGATATGAGGGGTTTGGGGAAGAACATAATGGGGAAAACTTTAGGATTTTGAGAAAAAAGTATGTGAGGAAAAGGGAGAGTGAATCTGTGATTTTAAAGAACCCATGGGACCTTTGCATGACGAAGAATTCGTTGCGCAAAGTCTGAAATAATTACTTCACCTTAAAAGCCTGATCGACTAATTTAGAAAAATGTTTTGCGCGCCAAATACTTCGTCGCACAAACCTTTTAGTAAATACTTCATCTTTAATGGGCCACCGACCATTTTAGAATCTTCATTGTTCAAGATTTTGGCACCAAATCTTCCCCTACCAACGTTTTTTCTCTACCTTTGTGGGACGAATATTTGGTGTCGTCATGCAAAGGCCTCTTGCACGACAAAACTTTTCGTCGCTCAGTTTTGCGCAACGAGTCCCTAATTACACTGTGTAATTTACCTTTGCGTGAAGAAATTTGTTGCGTCGCGTGAAGTTTCATCACACAAATAGTTTTTTGTACTAGTAGTACATTAATTATCATATGCATTGTTTCTACTACCCTCCCTTTTTCGGTCAACAACTATTAATTCGTTGTTAATAATTTGGTATAGCTCAGAATAAATGAGAGAATCAAATACATATAAAGAAGAATTAGGTGAACATTGAAAGGAACGCAAAATAGCAATATTTTCATGTGTTGTTTTGCTAGATATATATTGCATGCATATACAACGTACTGATCGAGGTTTGCTTGTAAGTCGGATAAAGAAAGTTGAGGGTATGAAGCCGAAGCAACCATGTGACCCATCTTAATGACAGTTCGGAAAGAAAGTAAAGTGTGGACCGATCGATGGAGGAGGAAATGATCATTGGCTAAACATAATATTATTTATGGACTGAGTTTCCTTCATTTTTTATCGGCCTTCACATGAGGATCAGCAAATTCATTGGAAAATTAATTACACACTCAAACTATTATCAATAGGACCATTAGATATCGATGGAAGAATTTCCCACCTCACCAAGTAATTTAAGCTCAATGTGTCAACATTGAAACAAAAGTTTAAATTCTTTAATTTACAGTACTTTATTTTGTTCAGAAGGCGATGAATTGGAAAAATGATTTTAAGTGATTGAATATGTAGACTTCGAAACAAAACATAAAAAAAATTCAATTCACGTTGATGTGACATTATTTATTTATTTATTTTCTCGTATACTCTTAATCTTGTGTGTTTTCAATAAATAAAATACCTCACTAACATTAAATAGTGGTTGATATTTTGAGAAAAGTTTCGTTGACTTTGGCGTCAGTGTTGTATAATTTTATTGAATGTTTGTAGGTCCAATCAACCGCAGAGATAGAAAGATTATAAAATTATACTAAGAAGAAGAGGAAGAAGAAAAGAGATTTGGATGGGAAAGAAAAAGGGGAGACGATGGCTACCGTTTCTTGTCAATTCAAGACCCCCAATGAGAGGGAGTTTTGTTGTTTTCTCATAAACGGCCAAAACACGTACAGTGCAAGAGGCCTTATCAGTTTGTGTACTACGGAGATATTTCACAAATTATACCGTGCTGGTCCAAAGCATGTGTAAGAAATATAAGTAAAATCAAGAATTCGGGAACTAAATGAATGGCCTAGAAGGAACAACATCCACTTAAAAATTCCCACTTAAGTTACGTACAAATTTTCTTTCGTTGTTTTCTTTTGAAGATACAACAATATATTATTGACTTAAAAAAAAAAGTTAATCTTGAATGAGGAGATCTTGCATAAAATTAAGAAAGTCCGCAAACCAAACTAATTTGTTTGCTGTTAGTATTCTTTTTTTATCTCGAAAATTAATAGTAGACTTAAAAAATCACTTACATACGCTATACAAATTATTAAGAATAATTAGAAGAATAACAATTTTCACCCTCAAGAGTATAAATATACTGGAAGTATCAAAATCGATATCCTGGTGAAATCCTTCTCTCCTACGAAAACCTTTTATTTTTTCTATATTCATTTTCTTGTCCCCTTTCCTCATATAATATATATACATAATACATACATATATATATATATATATATATATATATCATTGAGCAAGCACAATAATAGAGAGGGCCTAGCTTTCAGTGATCTGTAAAATTGAGCAGCAGGCTTTAGGTACTACGAATTCTTTGGTAAGAAGGCATGCCAAGAGTCTCAACAAAGCAAAGAGACGAACCCTACAGTACTACAAATACTCATCATCTACGTCCTCACAACACTGCTGTGACAGAGACAAACCCTACAGTACTACAAAATACTCATCACCTACGTCCTACACAACACTCCTCCCAAACAGAAAGGTACAATATATTGGATAAAACTCTTGTAAAAAAAATATATTATATATTGGATAAAACTGAAATTAATTAATTATGTTAGAATAGAATTAATTAAAGCTCAGCTTAATATTTGATTATAAAAAATAAAAATAAAAATAAAAGCAAAAAGCAAAAATTGCTAGTAGGTGTTAACAGGTGAAACGGGTGACCCATAAACTTCACGGATTGAATTTGGATGACTTCTTAACTTAACGAATTGAGTTTGGGTGATTCATTTACTTAACAGGTCAGTTTCAAACTGATATCTTGAATTGATCAATTGATTGTAGTTCATGCAGGAAAAAAAATTAAGCAGTTCATGCAAGAAACCTAGATAGTATAGCTAGTTCATAATGTATAAACCAATTTATGACTTTGGGTTTTTATTTCTGACCGAAATATAGAGACTGGACCAAAATATAGCGATTCATAGAGAGAGGCCTAAAGTCATTGGAAAACAAGCTTACCTTATTATTATTATTAAGAACACACAAAGGAACCCAAAAAACAATTAACACTCTAGATAGAAAGCAAGTACTAAATATGATATGTAATTTACATAATTGCTTCTATAAACACTTAAAAGCCTTTTATTTTTATGAGGCTGCTGATCGTTAAGGCTTAACCTTTTTGGTATCGCTCACACTCTCTAAATTAATATTCTTAACACATTACATCCTTGAGAAGCTTGTACCTGCGCGTAGCGGTTCTTGGTGACGGCACGCCACTGCTAGGGTGGTTCTTGGTGTTAACCTTCTCACCGCTTCCACTCTCTTGATTATGATCTTGTTGCTTGATCTTGTGATCCCCAGAGTATTCTGACCGGCTCGAGGCACTTCCGGTCTCGACTCCTCCTGCGGCCGCCATACTCGATTTCTTGGAAGAGCTACCGTGCCTTGTCGTGCTCCTTTCTTGATCACTTAAGCACCAATCACACAGTTCAGTTGGCTCCGCATATTCGCTATAATAATTGCTACAATACCTAGAATTAAACAACTGTCGTCTATAAGATTTGACCAGATTGATTGGGAAACTGATTCAAAAGCACATAAATGTATAACAAATTCACATCGGTATCATGCTTAATTAGTAAATGAGTTTTCTTTGTTATTGTCAGCAGTAATTGGAATATTGATATAATAGGACTAGGCATGGTTATAGCATTATAAACATGTTTATACAGATACATGGTGATGATTGATGATGGCATAGGATGCATGCCCCACGGTTTTATCATGGTACCATGACCATGACCATCAGATATCATATACATGGTACCAATAATAATTAGGTAGGTTTGGTGGGTGTTTTATGGAGATGGGTCTATTCAGTTATCAGTACCTGTCGCACCTATGAACCATGATCATGATCATGATGATACAAATATATATATATATATATATATATGATGCCTTTACATACATATAGCAAATAGCATATCGTCATGTTATGTATGATGCATGGCATATATATATATGATGGTGATGATGTTTATGATGATGGTGATGGTGAAAATACATACGAGTGTTGAAAGCGATTGCGGCATTTGTTGCAGCGGAAGAGCTTGTCAGGAAAACCCACGTCACCACACATGCAGCAAACAGTTTGAAGATCCACCATCTTCGTTCTTGAAGCAATTCAGGAGATACACAGAATAATATTTGTATATATCAATTATCAAGAAACACAATCCAAAACCCAAAACCAAGAGAGTCAGAGAGATAACTACAGGAAGAGAGAGAGAGAGAGAGAGAGAGAGTTAAATATAAAGAGATATACGAGGACTAATGGTTTTGGAGTCGGTGTGTAAATTCCATATTTATACATGAAGTTAATAAATATTCTCATATTTATTTATAATATTGGAGAGATATACACAGGTAGACCACAGGTTGCTTGCAGTCGTTTTCAGTTAGGGCAGAGGGGGAAAGAAAAGAGGTGAACCTTAAAATAGAGGTGGGGAAATGACACTTCTGCCCTCATGCGGAGAGCTTTGCTTCTTAATTCCGTTTCCCATCTTTTCTTTTGCGTTTGTAAAAAGAAAAACTAATGAAAAATGTTTCAAAATTTTGAATTTTAATAAAAAATCATCTAATAATTTTATTTAATGATAAAGATAAGAGGAAAACTAAAAAAAAAAAATTATCAAACACCCATGCGGTCTCCTTTGCTGCTGCATCTTCCAGTTGCTTCTTTTTCCAGTATTCATTAATTGGGGTCCAAAAATTGCCTTGCCAGAAGCAACTCCAATCATGGCTACTCCAATATTTATTTTACTGCACAAACCTCTATATATTTGTACTATATGTATATGTATATATATACACATATACATACACACCCTACTACATATTATATATTATGGACATTATGAAGCATTGAAGAGTACCATGTGCAACTTTATTTACCAAGCCACTACCTTTTATACCTATAATTTTAATTTACATGATGCACCATTGAGAAGAATCCGCTGTTCCCAACAATTTCCATCCACAAAACCGTCGGTGTTGTGAGATGCTTTGGAAATTGTATGGTAACCAAAATTCAGGGTTTTTAAGTCCACACAGATATTGGAATGATTGAAGACTTGAGATGCTTCTGAAATTAAAGGATATGAAGTGGGGGTCGATCTGGGTTCATATCCGTGGGTGTATCTGGGTTCATATCTATAGGTGTATTCGATTTTATTGATTTCATATGCGTTATTTTTTTTTATTTTGCAAAGGGAGAAGATGAGATTGTAGGTGGAGGAGAAGAGGAAGCTGCAGATGGGCAGACAATAGAAGAAAATTAAGTAATTGGTGTAGGAAGTTTAGAAATTGAAGAGATATAGAGACAATTTATGAGTATCGAAGAAAATGTGTTTGCAAGGTGGGAATGTGCCAAGAAAATTCAAGAAGAGAAGAGAGAAGAATGTAGTACCGTTAAGTTTCATAAACAGTGTAGCACCGTTAAGTTTCATAAACAATGTAGTACCGTTAAGTTTCATAAACATTTTGTGTGAAGACGTACGGGTCCTCTGGTCATTTGTTTTTTTACTATTAAAATTATGTCTTTTTTTTTCCTTAAATTTAAGTTCTTTTGTCATTTTTATTAAAATTTAATAGTTTTTCATTAAAATTTTAGTATTTTTCATTAAATAAAGTTGTAGCATAGTTTTTTTTATTAAAATAAACTTAGCCGAAACCCTTTTCATGAAAGTTTGTGTGTTATCCACACTCCATTTTACTTCTGTTGACCCTAAAAACTACACTACAACAAAATAGCTGTTTGGCGAGGACTTTTGTCCTCGTTGAAAGTTGCTGTTTTATCGCTGAAGGTTTTCAGCGAGGAAAAAAATTCCTCGCTCGTTCCTCGTAGTAGGCCCGTCAAGAAATATGTACAACGAGGAATTGTTTCCTCACAGAAATGATACAGCGAGAGTGGAACGTTTTCTCATAGTTGAGTTGGAGCAGTGACAAACTCCTCGCTAAAAGGGTTGGAATGTGATCGCCAAAACATTTTGACAACCTAAATATTGGCGTTCCATAACTTATATGAGGATAAAATTCCTCGCAAAAATAATCAAATTCCTCTCTGTAAATATCTTTTGGCGAGAAATTTGTAGGTGAGTTTTCAGCAGATCAGATGTTGCGAGAATAAATTTCCTCGTTGATAAGTATCTAGGAGACACTCGTTTCCTCGTTGTATCAAAGGTACTGAAAGTTAATTCATAGTAGTCCAAAACCAAAATAGCTTACAATGATAATTCATAGTCTACAAAATTAGTTACGCTTATTGTTAACAACTATAAAAGTTCACATTGTTTTCACAAAAAGTTCACATATTCCAGCAAAACAAAAGGACTACTTATGGAGGTGGTTGTTGCCTTTCCATTATTTTGTGTAGGAGTTCCTCAAATTTCTTTTGGTTCTCCTTCAATTCTTGGATCTCTTGTTTTGCTTCACCAAGCTCTTGTTTTGTTGTCACAAGCTCTTACTGTTGAGTCTCAAGTTTTTCTTCTCTTCACGAGAGATAGACTTTGAAGGACCTTTGAAGTACCCAGACTTGTGACCAAGAACACCGAGAACAATTTCATCATCTGTCAACGTCACCGTACCATCTGGAATAGTTGTTTTGTTTTTCATACTTAGCATCTCTTCCTACAAATGAAAAATAAGCTATCACGCTTAGCACCTTCATGTACACAAACATAAAATCTATCACATTTGGTTCCTTCATATATATATATATATATATATCATAAACATAAAAGCTTCACAGATTCTTCTATCTCGATTTAATCATAAATGACTGTCTATGATTATAATTGCTTATGATCAATAATACACCTTTACCAGCATAATGACATTATCAAACTCATACAAGCACAAAAAGCCTTGCAACTTATCAAGCCTTGAATTACATGTCAGCTCTTAAGCTAATAAGAGGTAATTATCAAACAATTATATTTTTTTCCCCAAGCAAAAACCTTAATGTGCCAAACTTGAGTCCGAGGAATGACAGAAAAGTGACAAAGGACACTGAACACCACAAGTCATGGACAACACCTTTTTATTTACACGTCTTATATAAGTGGCAAGACTCTTTTATGTAGGAGAAATAAGCAAGAAACAATACATACTTTCAAAAGTTTACATGTTATATTATGACATACACATAAACATTGAATACAAACATATACATTGACATAGCAGGACTAGAATATACACAACCAGCATGTACATAACTAACTTACCCACTTTAGTTTAGCTCCTTCATCCCAACCATTTTTGGTGTTTTTATGCACAGCCTCAAAGTAATTAATTGAACTTAGTTGTTCTCCGGTTTTGGCTTCCTAATACATGGATCACAAATTAAAGTTAATAACTTATTATCCACCTAGAATCTAGATTAAAATTATGAAAAACACATCTTACAATCTCTTCTTCATGGGCCCTAAAAGATTTGAGCCTCCTTTATGATTGTAAGTCAAATGAGACCTATTAATTGCATTTTTATTTGAGCGTTCCTGCATAGCAAAAATAAATTTGGTGACATGAAGAAGATAAACAACATACATGACAACCACAATTCAGTTCATTAATATACATGTGTACATTGAATTGAACACTTGCATAACGATCACAAAGAAAATTTCATTCCTCTTGACTAGTTACATCCTCATGTTTGTTTCATTTTGCTTCTTCTAGAGTTGGGAAGGAATCAAAATGCTTATTCAGCTTGTGTCGAAAATCAACAAACCGCCTTTGTAATGCATTCTTAATATATGTACTAACATGAGTTAGTGACATATCAATATCGTACTTGCTCTGCATGGAATTCAATTTATAATAAATCTAATTTAAGAAAGACTTTTACATACTGAATGTAACAAAAATGTGAAATGAAAATATTACTCACAGTTATTCTTTCAATCATCTTATCCACATCCTTCTTTTCTATATTCCTCTATTGCTTCACATTTAGTGGTGCATAGGTCTGAACCACAAAACCAATATCATTCACAAGAAATGAGGAATTCGGACCTGTGGGCTTCCGTTTTAGTTTTGTCAAAGTGATTGGTATTTTCAAACCACCAAGCTGCTCTTGTAGTTTATCAGAATTCTTCCCACGGGTATTTGACCTTTTTTTTTTCCATTCACCTAAAACATTATTAATGCAAAATTTATTTTACATATGATACAAGAACCTTTTACAGAAACAAAGATAATACAAAACAAGTGGAACAATAAGGCTGAGTACCAAGAAAACCATAAGAATAAAAAATCAATTGAACACACTAATAACATCGTAAAAGAAACGACTCGCATTTTCTTGCTATAAAATAGAACACCTTTTTAGGTTTATATCAAGCACTTGCTCTAACTTTTAATCCATTAATGAAAAGTTCAAATGGTTAGTAAAACATGTCATAACTCTTACACAGATTATATTCAAACACTTGGAGAAGAAAATCACTTCAATGAAGCAACCTAATATAGATAACATTCAAAATAAAAAGGCATACCATTAGCACTTCCCTGGGTATTGATTGATGATATAACAACAGCAACTATATTGCTTGAAGGTATCACAACAACAGCTCTAATTTGTGGATTATCAATTGATGCCTCACTTGAAGAGTCACAAGGGATTCGCTTCCTTTTTCCTACCATAGTGATATTCTTCGAGAAGAAAAAAACTAACAAAGTTAAAATATGCAAGTTATTTGAGAAAGCTTAACAACACGACAAATCAGTTATATGAATATGGACAATGAATAATTACAATTGATCAGGGGAAACTATCGCACCATACCCCTCAAATGCCAAAGACAATAACCATATGAAAATGAAAAAAATTAAAAACATGCAACCACATCATGGCACTACCAAAAATTCAAAAATCAGAAACTACATTAGAAAAATATTAGTAGTCACTGCCATCACTATCGTCACTTTCAAGAATTTCTTAATCTTCACCATCATCCAATGGATTATCTTCTTCAGAATCCTCCTTGTCGTGCCTTGAATTCACCCTATAAGTTGGATCACTTTCTACAACATAGACAGAAGGCTCATCTTTAGAATCTTCGTCCATCACATCATCACTTGATAAGAGATTTTCTTGATCTTCTTGAACAGCCCAACGAACTTCATTAAACTCATCCTCTTGGTAAACATTAATATC